TTAAAAATTATTTAAACAATAGTTTCGCCTTTTGTAGGATAAGTTTTGTCTATAGATCTTTATCTCTAATTATTCATCAGTGTAAACAATTTTTTTAAAAAGGCATTTAGATGTTTATAGATACATTTTATACCCTTTTAGACATTTTAAAATTTAAAAAGTACCGGTTATGGTATCTAATTTTTTTAACTTGCTCAGTTGCTTTCGAGTAGTGCAGAAGACAGAGACGAATGGAGGAGGATAGTTCACATGTCATCTGTGACGTCCCAACGGTCCAAGGACTAAGGGACATGATGATGATGAGTTGCTTTCTACAAAATAAAAAATTCTGGTGAACTTTCTTTTATCATAATCATTACTCTATGTTAACTGAAAATGACACCAGAACTGTCAACAGACTAGTATTAAGATATGGGTCCCGATTTATTACATGTCACACTCCATCCCTTGTTAAGCAACCACCTCTGCTACATGCTAAAAACAGACTTGAAAGTTGTACATCCTGAAGACAGCACTGAATAGTTGTACATCCTGAAGACAGCACTGAATAGTTTTACATCCTGAAGACAGCACTGAATAGTTCTACATCCTTAAGACAGCACTGAATAGTTCTACATCCTGAAGACAGCACTGAATAGTTCTACATCTTGAAGACAGCACTGAATATCTACATCATTAAGACAGCACTGAATAGCTCTACATCCTTAAGACAGCACTGAATAGTTCTACATCCTCAAGACAGCACTGAATAGCTCTACATTCTGAAGACAGCACTGAATAGCTCTACATCCTTAAGACAGCACTGAATAGCTCTACATCCTTAAGACAGCACTGAATAGTTCTACATCCTCAAGACAGCACTGAATAGCTCTACATTCTGAAGATAGCACTGAATAGCTCTACATCCTTAAGACAGCACTGAATAGCTCTACATCCTTAAGACAGCACTGAATAGCTCTACATCCTGAAGACTGCACTGAACAGCTCTACATCCTGAACACAGTAGGAATTAACTCTAACAGTTTAATCATATAAATAATATGCTAGTTAAAGGGGAAATAATATATAACCTTGAAATTCCACACTTCTTTAGTTTTTATTTAAATATATTTAATACTCAGAAGGACAATGCTAGAGAACTTTTTGTTCATCCTGCCCCCCCAGTAACTTGTCAGAAAAGATGATAAGATCATTGTCCTCAAAAATCATCAATGTATAAATAGTTTAGGTCACATGACGACTAACAGAAACTAATGTAATTAATTTAGTCATCACTGAGTGAGAGATGATTTTAAAAGGCTTTGAGTGGAAGGGTTTTTCTTCACTCCCCTTTATCCATTAACCTTTTTACAAACAAAACAACAAATTTGTCTGGACATGTAATGTTTTTGTGGTTTGTTTTGCATCCTTTAAACATTTCCATATATTTAATTCTGTTTCAACAGGATGTTAAAAAGTCATATGTTTGTGCTTCTTGCAGAAGGACAAAGGTTACCAGATTTGACAGAAAATTGAACACACACATTAAGTGTGCTAGCTAACAAGTAGGGTGAAGCAAAAGTCCCTGTGAGTTTCAACTTTTAAAGTTGGTCTCCACTGACCTCTTAATTACGTTACAGCCAACAGTTTAAAAATAACTCGTAGTCTTAGATTAAGGGTCCTCAAATTAAAGAACAATAAATTTGTTTTTCTAAAGGGCTATTTGTTTGTCTCAGACTTAAAAATGTACCGGTACTTGTAGTTTACAGCAATGTGTGAAATATTTTGTTAACTCATATGTTCAGATACATTAATGAAAGCAATAATAAATAAATTATGTTCCTAAAATTTGGGAATCCTCCTAGCTCCATATAATCATAACTGAATTGAACAATCCTACCGACCAAGTTTGCCCAAGATCAGGAGTTTAACCTTCCTTCCACACTGAAAAGTTCCAGTTTTATATTTATATGCTGTATGCAATGAGTAATGCCATTCTTTCTGGAGTTTGAGATTCATGATTGATTTCTAAGATAAAACAGACACCCTTACCTGCTTTGTGAGATGCATTTTCATTTAAGATCATAGATAATATTCATGATTAATAATGTGTAAAGTGTTGAATGAATTGTGAAATTAAAAATGTGCAATAGGTTATGGCATGTTACCTAATGCTGACACGCCCACTAAGACTCCCTTAGGTATTAGGATATTTCTTTTACATGCATGGGACAACAGATCAGAAAAAAATATCTCTTTAAAAAAATTAATAAATAAATAAATAATCCTTTTTCTAATTAAATTTGAAGTTCTATTTAAAATTAGTATAAATTACTAATATGAAAAAGTAGATGCCAAATATAAGATCAGCACAGACATTCTGCATAGAGAGTTCTTTTCAATTATTAGTTCTATGTCTACAGTCTGATAAAGTAAAGGTTACGCAGTGCTGAAGCGTTGAGTTTAATTAAGAATATTTATTTTGAAATGAGGTCATGTTTTTCTATTGGGGTTCCTGTTGTTTTCCCTTCACAATAAATAATGGGGCAGGTTGTGCTGCTGTAATGAGAGAGTGGATAATTCAACTTATTTCTAGCAACTTACATGCTTGAGATGTGTTTGTATTCAAATTAATTCATTGGCATTTAAAGCATCCTCACAATTTTTATAAATTATATTATATTGGATAAGGATAATACATTTTAATTTCATGTTTATAAACCTGTACAAAGTTTTAAAACTGAATTAAGTTCATCATATTTTATCGTGTTCAACATTATTACTTTTTATAATCAACTGTTTTTATGATTTCACTTGCACTTTATAAATGAGGTTGGTTTTTTTAATCCATGTACATTTACTTGAAATACCATAAACTGTAGCACACTAATATGGCTGTGATGAGCACTAAATTTACTAAAACATTAATTGGTTTCTTATGTGCAAATTTTGCTGGTTCAACTGCTCTTTGATGTATGTGTGAACATCAGAATATATTCCTCATTCTCTTTGTAAGTCATTTTTATATTTCCCTAAAGAAAAAAAAATTCCATTGACTTATTACCAGTATACCTTATCTATTTCATAATCTGTTGGTGTAAATAAAAGAATACTAGCTGTAAAATAATTCAAGAAGAGAGCCATCCTTGGTGCTAAACTTGTTGGGATTCTATTTAAAAAATAATAGATTTTTTTCTATGTCAAATTATTTTTTTTAAATGGTAGGTAGTGAATTCATTTATTATTAAACAAGTTGCCAACTTACATCTTACAGCTTTAAATTTAGTCATGTCTATAAATATAAGTCTATAATATTCATGAGCCAATTCAAGGTAAGGCAGAGATATCAAATCAAACCCTTTTTTAAAAAAAAAGCACAATGAAAAGCTGAGTGATTACCAAACAAAAAATTGCCTTTTGAAGACTTTGCAGGTAATTTTTTTGTTTACATACGTTTATTTAGCCATGCATCAAGTAAAACGAATAATTACTAATTGAACTGTTTGCCTTAAATTAGGTTTAGGAAGTTAAGTTATTCATAAATATGTCAAAATGTTTTGAATGGCAATATTGGAAAATGTGCACTCTTGAGTAACAACACCAGATTATGATTTATGTTGAATATAATTTTTCTTCTACTTCTAAGGTTGATTATTAAGAAAAGAAATGCAGTGGTTAGAATTATATCTAGTATAGATGTAAAATTATCTCAGGGCATTATTTGGTAAAAAAAATTCATCCATATTGTCCACAAATTAAGATTTAAAAAAAGCAATGTGACAGCCACTCAAGTAGATATTTTTTTTAAATAACCACTTCTTTTTTTTAGCTAATATTTTTACTAATAAATAATAACAAAATATGGTAATAACAGTTGCTTTAACCATTTATTCATATGCAGAAGCACATCTGAAGTATATTTACAAGAGTCCTTATAAAGACATGACTGTGATAATGAGTAGATTATTTCTACCCGGGTATAAAATTTAAAAATAAAATCACAACTCTGGCCCTAATAAAAAAAAATGTTCTTAAATCTCCCTAACAAGATGTGTCCACTGTATTGAGTTTATATTAAACAATAATTTTTTTAAAAAGAGAAGTTAATTTCCCTAAAATTCCTTTTCATACCTATTATTTTTAGTGTTTTTCATTTTCTCTTCCAACGCCTCGATGTGCTTATTTTTAAATTGCCAGCCATTTATTCTTACTCAAGTATCATCTCTGTCATTGTCATGTTGCATTTATTAAAAATATTTTCCCTTTTGATCAGTCTTTAGAGTGATTCTTTATGGTCAATCAACAGGAAATCAGTTTCAAATAAGTGTATTTTTGTGGTTTGATTGTTAGGAAATTTATCATTAAAAACAATTACATGGATTTTCATACTGTTTTAATGGATATTCAGATAATAAGGTGCTGGGCTTGGATCAGATAGAAGCGGAAATGTGTCTCTTAAGAAAGAAACACTGTTGCTCGTAATTACTGAAGTGATATCCAATCTAATTATATAGATCAGTGGACCCATTTCATGTGTGTGGGACTGTGGGCATATGTCGTATTTGGTGGCCTTTGCCATTTTCTTAACCTTACAACTACATAGATTTTTTACATTTTCCTTTTTGACATTGTGATTCACTTTTCAGTGCCAAAAAGACTGCACATATACCAAAGAACTCAATAAGGATTAGCTTTTCTATAATAATTTTGTGTGTGCTTGATAAACTATGAAGACTGTTTTGCTGAGTTCTCTGTGGCACTCCTTCATAAAGGCACATGGCAAATTTAGTTTAAGATGATATAAACCATTCCAATTGTTAAAATTTACATGCAATAGTTGCAAGCAAGGATTTTCAAACTCATCTACTTAACCTATGGGTTCTGTCCATTGCCAATCTATTCACTATAAATAATAATCAATTGTTAATAAAGTTAGAATAATCCCTTAAACACAAGATAAAAAAATGCCTGCAAACAAACTTGCTTAAAAAATTCCTCACACTGTCATGAGCTGATCTTCTCCCACTAGTACCAGAAGGTGTCTGAACTTTTTAAGTTTAAGGAGCTGGTTTATATTTACATGTCCCCTCCTTCAATGGGGGCAAAATTGTCCAAATAACTGAACAAAGCATTGAATAAATGATTAAATGATAATTTAATGCTATGTGATGTCAAACATAAAAAGAGCCAAGTCTTCATCTTCTTCTTCTGGCTTATTCTGATTCCTGTTGTCTTGCTTCAAACTTTTATCAGCATCTCTGTCAAATAGTCTGGTTTTTTTTGCTGTGCCATTTAAACTTTGATGACATTGTTCACATGGTGATAATGTCTCTAACAGTTTGTGAAACCTGAATTATGAATGCCAACATACACAATTTAGCACAACATACACAATTTAGCAGACATATTTTATTATTAGATTTCATCTTTGCTGAGAAATGCTAAAACCATAGAACCTAACATTATTTCATAATAATTTAGAAGTATTGTTATGGTGCATAACAACATTTAAATGGAAATCAACTTTACAAGATCTAATTTAACAAATCAATGATTAAAAATCAATAATATCATGCGATACAAAATGAATCCATAAGAAACAAACCTTGTTATCCTTCTAAAATTCTCTTCCATTTTGGTGTTTGCATTTTTTATTAGAAACTGGATATACTGGAATAAAATAGACACAAATTGTTCAACATAGATGATATAGTGAAATTCTCAGCCAACAAAATATAAACTCTATCAACAGAAAATAGTCTACACTCTATGATACTCAATAAGCAAAGGTAAAAATTATAGAAGGTTAATCAACTAAAATTATCCAGGTTGTTGACACATATCATATATTATATATATATATATAAAAGTGAATGTTTGTGGGTTTGTTCCACATACGTTTTTACATGGATTGATGGATCTTGACCAAACTTGGCACATATATCCCTCATTATCCAGAAGGATAATGGATCCGGAGCCACAAGAAAAGGGGGTCCCAATGGAAACGGGATAACACTCGGAAAAGGGATTGTTCCGGGATCGTGGTCAGAATGAGATAGGGGTCTCACTGGGATTGGGTTCTTACCAGAATCGGGGTTCTAATGCAATCCCGTGCAAAGCCGGGTATATTGGCTAGTATTTTATAAATTTTCATAACCATATTAAAAAGTCATTTTAAAAAATTTCTTGAATTGAATTTTTTTTTTAAAACCTTATTTATTTTCTATTGCGAGTACCGGGTACTTTATACTGATCGCTTGCAATTGAGACTAGGTGAGAGCAAGCCAAGTAAAAAGCTTATAAAAACTGTTTAAAATCAAACTGAAGATATTGCCACCTTCATCAGACATTTTGAATTGAATACCAGAACCGGGTACTTTTTACTGTTTATGTTAAATCATCACTTTCCAATAATTTACAAATAAATATTAATTACACTGAGATTTAATTGTAGGTTCATTTAAAAAATATTGACAAATACCTCTGAAGACACAAGTACTTGACCTTCAGATGCCAACGGTGCTTCCAAAGAATGAGTGCTTCTGACAGCCTTTAAAAAAATGTATTTAGCAAAAAACAGAGGTAAAAATTTGGAATGGAGAATACCATGTACTCCAGATACTGGTACGTGATAAATCCTTTTAAGTAGACATGATATTTTATTTTGATTGGCACTAACAAAAGGGACAAAACATTCTACAAACATAAACACTTATTACAGTACTACCATCATAATCTTTCCTTTAGTCCCAATTGTTATCCCTGAATTTCTGAAGCCTGATGACACTGCTGCTTGATGCTAATAACACACAATTTTATTTATATTAGAAAACTGTTAATAACATATTATGCAAATATTCATGGCTTTTCTTGCTTTTCATAAGAACTTTTTCAACATGGCTATTCTTGCATTTCACAAGAACTTTTTCAACAGATACTTCCCTGCCAAAAGGGTAGGCCAAAATGTCAAAGTTGTATTAGCATTGAAGAGTTTTTAACCCTTCACAAAATATTCATTCTTATTCTCAAGACCTCAATGACTTAACTAAATATGCAACAAAATTACTTTTATTTAAGAAAAAACATACTAACACTAATATACAGAATGTAAATGACAGAACCTACTTAGTTTTTAACAAATATGTAATTTAATATAAATTATTGAAGCTAAATTTTTGTCAACTATATAGATAAAGACATTGATTTGAATTACACACCATTTTTTGTGCACTCTCCAAAGTCTGGCATTGAATGTGCATCACCATTGGTTCAAACTTGAGAGTAGTGACATTTTCTGCATCCTTTAGGGCTTCAGACTTAAATTGAACAAACAATAATATTCAGTTATAATACCTATAACAATGTATGTCTAAAAGAAGCAAAGCTAAGAAAAGACAAAAGAAAAAGAGAAATGGACCCCATAATTTTAAATATTGTTTACCAGTGAGCAACAAGCAAATAATAAGAGTCAAGTGATTCACAAGTTTATGGCTTATTCTAAATAATCATTAATAATGTTACAATATGTTAAAAGTATTACCGTATATTTAATGTCACATTTCCAATACTATTTACAATTTCAAAATCAAAAGTGCCACTTCTGGAATAATTGAATAACAATTTACTTACAATGTTTTCTAGCTGCACAGGATCATGTGAAACATAAAGCCACTTGCAACCTTTCTTCTGAACTTCATCTGAGTGCTTAGAGAAACATTAAACAACTGATAAATATAGCAGAAATTTCATTGATATTTCTAATTTTACTATCTTGATATATTGTCACACATGTGAAGACTTCAGTTTGCAATAATCAATACTTAATTGATAAGAATGTTATATATATAATACTGTGATTGACCTTCTTCAAAATAACAAAAACTGCCTTTCTCCATACTGATCCTATGACTTTTAGCAGACAGCTGATAATTTAAATTTAACATGTACTGGTAGCCTGTATTATTAAACAGTTTATAAGGTCTAGTAGATAACATGCTTGTCATGCACATGAATCAGGTGTCAATTTATTAAATTTTTTTGTTTAGTAAGCCATATAAATATAATATAAAATAATGTGTTTATGAATTTCATAAATTTAAATAATTAATGCAACAGTAGACTACCTATAATATAATACTAAGTCAAGTAAAACAGAAAATACCAATCTTTCTCATTCTGTAAATTATGTCATTTTTATTATTAGTGAAAAATGGAAACCTGGAATGACCATATCTTTTATTCCTGATGTTTCTCTCAATTTGATTTTTAATCTTTAAAAAAATGATAATTTAATTAATTATATCTTTTGGTACATATTCAATTCTGCATGACTTTACTACTTTTTTTCCACACACAACTGCAGCTTTCCTTAAAAATATCACAACTCAGACAAATAGTGTAAAGCAGCATTAGTAGTTAGACTTATTATTTATATTAGAACTTATTTTTAATCTTAGTCTTAGTATAAATTAGACTAAGACTAAGTTATTTTACGGGATGTTTGTTAGAGCTAGATTGACTATTCATTCTAATTTCTATTGAATTAACTTTATTGCGGGGAAAACAACAACCTTTCATGAGTTTGGTTTAGCATCGCGGCATCACCATTCATTATATTAAGTCATTAATTAATTATGGATTTATTATCTAGTTCTAGAGTAGAACTTAGTATACTGCCTACATAGCCTACATTTTCAAAAAGAATAATACGTCCTGAGCATGAACTAGTTGTGAAATACTGTGGCAACGAATTAATTAAATCCACAATATCAATCAGTGCGTCATCGACTGATCCCTTTTTGGACAAATCTACATGCACCAAGCGTTGAAGTTTTTGGTTGGAAAAGGTTGCCATTGCCAATATCTGTTATGAATGTATGGTTTAGCTAGTGAAACTGTAAACTTTATTATTATTTATACATGGCAAGAAACCCTTTACGTTATGGTCAGTTGCACTGTGAATTATTGAGGTGGTTGAATTGATTTTAATTTCCCAAGCGGAACAAACTTTTAGTACCGGTAACCTAAACAACTTATAATGAAATTTTTAAAAAATTAATACATAAATGGATTTTTAAAATTTGAAATTAAAATATACATTTGGTTTAAAAAATTCTGTTTCATTTAAAATTTCTTAAAAGGAAATATTTTCAAATAAAAATTATTTTAGATTTTTTTTTACTGAAATTTGAAATCAAATGAGCATTAATAAACCCTTAACAAAAACATATCTCGATTTGGTCACAAATTTGGTGTGTCAAAGTCAAAGACCGGTCGATAAATTACGCTCGAATATTGAATTATATTGGTTGCGAACTTGTGTCATTGGATAAAGTGTGAGGCATTTTTGGTAAGTATATTTGAAGAAAATAAGTTAAGATTTTTGTGGTTTAATTTCACTTTAATTATGAAATATTGTTTAGGGTTTGTAATGTCGCATGTGTCACCGCTTCCTCTCACCACGGCAACAAAGTCTGTCTTAAGTCTTTAACCTTACTCCCCCTACTTAGAGTCTAAGTTCTTTACTTTGAATACTAAGTGGAGTAAGACTAATGCGCTTAAATTAAACTTAATACTACTAGGTATAAAGTTTAGTATTAGTATATCGGAACTATCTTACTTATTGGTTTATGATTATGTAAACTGTCTTACTTATGGATATTGACTTGACTAATTAGAGTTTAGTTATTGACAAACAAGTCAAGTAGTTTTCGAAATGTTGTAGTTGTGGTAGTAGTAGACCTAGTTAGCATTCTTAATTAGTAGTTCTCGTACCTTACACTTACTAAATCAGTACTTAATATTAACAATTACTAACAACTTCCACTACAAATGTACCAGCAGAGGCGTAACGAAGGGGGGAGGCAGGGGGGGGGGGAACAGATGTCCCTGGGCGCCATCTAGTTAGATTAGGGGCACCAAAATGTGCTTTGATATTATTTTATTGATGAAAATAATGGGTTTGAGAGTTGGAAAAAAGAAAAGGGGGCGCTTTAAAATGAATCTTGTCCCCAGGCGCCAAACACTCGCTACACCTCTGAGTACCAGTAGGCGTAACACTAATAAACAGTTCACTGCTAGTGTTTAACATTAACAGTAAAAAAATAAAAATCACAAATGAAATCACAATGGCCATGGAAATAATATGTTAACAATCTATTCTGTGAGTGTAACAAGAAAAAGACAACCCAGGACCAGTGGAAAGTATTTCTTATTGTGTCATGTGTAAAAGTAAAATATGTTCAGCTAATGATTGTTTGAGGCAAAGGTGGCCAATAGTAACCAAAACCAACTTGCTATTTTATTGAGACCAATGCTGAATTTGCTTGTCTCATCGCTCAGTTGACAGCATGCAATTTTTAAAGATTGTCAAACTGGTTATCCTTACCTTAACAACTCATATTAATATTAAAAGGTTTTAATTAGTGATAGGATCTACTTGTTTAATTTATTCATAATTTTTAAGGCAAACTATACTTAAATGTGGTCATGGTGGTTAACTGGAAATACACAAAAGGCTCATTAGCCACAGCTGTAAACATAGGAAAATCATTTGGAACTTCTTATTTGCCTTAATATTTGGATAATGAAGCAGGGTGTGCGAAGGGGATCCATTTTTCAGGCTTTATGCAGACATAAATTTGTCTTGCGGAGTCCGTCCTGGTTAATAATGTCATGACTTGTTCCAATTGACTAATTACCTGTAACTAATTGCTTTGTAATTTTTTTTTATTTCAAACATGTATTTAGTCTAATGAACTTATTAACCTATTATATAGTCCATTTGAGAATATTTTTAAAACTAAACAAATTAATAGAAGGTTAAAAAAGGGAAAACTACTTCGTCGCCTCATAGGAATTGAAACCTGAATCACATACATGATAACTATACACGGGTTTACTAGTGTATTTTCAGAGTTTTTGATACATTCTTTTATTTATCCATATATCACACGCTCTCTTGACCATAAATTGTAAAGATTATTTTCAATTTCGGAAAGTAAATATATTTTTAATGCCTATTCTATGCTATGCATAAATTGTACAATAAAGTGAAATCCTTGTTATGAAGAGCCAAATGTATGCAACAGACAGTTCATTTTAGAAGCATTGTTATAAGATTGTACATATCAATCTTTAATGACTTTAAACGCTTTGGCTCAGTTCACATGATCAAATTCCTTTCAAATTTTCATTCCTACATTTGATGGAATTATTGTATGAAGCCTTGTCACAACTTTCAAATTACTATTTGACCAAATTCTCATTTTTGTCCAAAAAAGGAAACCACACACAAAATAGTGCATTCATTTAAAAATTTGACGCAAATTCGAAAGGGATTTTATCATGGGAACTGATGCTTATAGGCATCTATTCTTGAGTTGTTTACAAGTTAGCAGGGTGATTTACTGATTACATGAGTGAGAGCAAACTTGAGCCCAGAAGTTCCATGAGACAGCAGAGACGAAGTCTACTCTCCCTGATAATTTCATTTTAATATTGCTGACAATATTTTAATTTTTTGTTTATATTATCAATTTATTTTTAATTTACTGAATTCATGTACCAAGTAAGTATTTATAATATAATGGGATCCCTTTTTACAAGAAAACAGACAGCTCTCTGGTGCAAGGTCACCCATGGACTCCATGCAAACTTAATCCACTCCTGCAGGCACAATTACTTTGATTACCTGGCTATCATTACTCATTTTGTGTGTGGCTTCAATCCTTGTGGCAACTTGGCAAGTTCATTATTTACTCAAATCAAAACTGATTATTTTGTGCAGTGAGTAGTGTTCAACTTCATCAGGATAAGACTCATTTAACTCAAGTTTAACTAGTGAAGTATATGTATCTTATTCTTCTGTACTTGTGTGGTTCCAAGTGAAGTCTATGTATCTTATTCTTCTGTACTTGTGTGGTTCCAAGTGAAGCATATGTATCTTATTCTTCTGTACTTGTGTGGTTCCTAGTGGAGTATGTGTATATTATTATTCTGTATCTGTTTGGTTCCTAGTGGAGCATATGCTATGCATCATCTTGTTTCGTTAATCGTTGACATGGGCCAATTACTTTGCTAAAGAGCTTGGACAGGAGCTTTAGTTATCGTAACAAGTGCAGTTCTCATGTTTAAAAGATAAGCTACCTGCACTTGGTTTGACACAGGAACATCTGGGGCTCAGGTTCCAGAGAGAGTCCTATTAAACACCCAACAGAAACTGCTTAATAAATGTACATTTGAATGAGTGGCACATACCAGTATACATAGATGTGCCCATAAGTGAGTGTACCTGACAATTCACTTCTCACATTTGATTGAATCATTCATTAGGGACCTGGTCTTGGGAAGACACGTTAACCTAATCCTCTTGCGCCATGTTTCCTTATTATTACTCTTTGAATGCCCCGAAGTGGGGGGAACAATGCTAGACGAAGTGTATTCATCTATACATATACAGAATATTAGTTTAGGTTACTCTCAGTTACTTGAAGGATGCCGGGCCATATAATCATTTGCAAACTTTTTCAATTTCCATTTGTTATTTACGCCCTCCCCCCACCCCTTAATACAAGGAATACGAAACTGGAATTCCCCCCCCCCCCCCCCCCAAAAAAAAAAAAGGGGGGGGGACATTTATAAAGAACACTGCATTGTCGTTTTAAATGGCATCAATTTAATACTTGAATCGCGTTAAAATGTTATTCAATTCATACAGAGTTAACTGCCCTGGGTCCTTAATGTTGAAATGAATGTGACAATCAAATTAAACCAGTCTTGGTAGATTATTGGTGTTCTGTATAATCTAGACACGAATTGGTTGCGTGAAAAGATAGGAAGAGTTAATTAATGCATTCATCAACAAACAAAAAAAACGTTAAAACTTTCTATTTCGCGGTATCACCTGGTAAACTACTGGGAAAACAAAGCACTCCACTCAGACAACAGATCGTCTCAACCACCGAAAGCAAGTTGCTGATAAGTGTAAGATTACATTACATAGTCCGCCCGTTCTTGGCGCTTGGACTCATGTTCAAAATAAGTGTACAAATCACGGCTAAAGAAAATCACAATTACACCCCCCCCCCCCCCC